GACTGATTCTTGATGTCTCATAAAGTCATTAGCTTCCACTTGCCCAATTCTCATTTTTAAAAAATTCTCTTCAGTTAGTTTTTGTGCATCCTTTTCCATTTGGCCAATTCTACTTTTTTAAGGAATTGTTTTCTTCTTTTGGCCAATTGCATTTATTAAAGAATTGTTTTCTACAATCAATTTTTTGTCCTTCCTTTTCTAAGATATTGACTCTCTTGCATACCTCTCATTTCTTTTCTCAATTTTTCTTCTACCTCTCTTATTTGGCTTTTAAAATCCTTCTTGAGCTCTTCCAACAATGCATTTTAGGCTTGAAAGCAGTTCATATTCCCCTTTCAGGTTTCAGAAGTGGATATATTGACAATGGTGTCTTCTTCTGAATTTGTGTTTTGATCTTCCCTGTCCCCACAGAAAGAATCTATGGTCATTGTCCATTTCTGCTTTTTGCTCATGATGTTTGCCTATTTCCTGGCTTTTAAAGTTGAGCTCTCCTGCTGGAGCACAGGGGGACACTGTCTCAAGCTTCTTCCATTGGAGACCAAGGACCTGATTCCTGGCTTTGAGTGTGGGGCTTCAGATGCTGGCAGCTGGAGGCTGTATTTGGCAGCTTACCTGGTGCTGAGCTAGGCTCAGCAACATTGAAGCTCTCAGGATGTGTGTATGTGGGTGTGGGGTGGGGGGAGTCTGGCCCTTGGAGTACACCTGCTCACCCAGGCTGCTCTTAAGTACTGGAATGTTTAACTGCTGGAGTATGCCTGTATGGAGGTTGAAGTTGTGCTTCCTGGAGTTGTGCTGAAGCAGAGGAAGATTTGGCTACTAGAGAAAGCCTGCCGACCTTTCCATTAAGTCCCCAAGCCTCCCATGCTAAAAGATTTCTACACCCTGTCCTTCTGCTGGCTCAGTTGCTCCAAGATTTTTCCTGGGGCAATATTTTCTGGGTTTGTAGAGGTCAATAAGGGAAAGTGGGAGCAACTTACTACTCACTCTGCTATCTTGGCTCCTAGAAGTCCAGTCCAAAGATGTTTTGACATTGTTGTCCTCTTCTGGTTTTGTGTCTTGATCTTCTCTGTAACCTTAATAATTTTTAATGTTCAGATTCTTTTTGTTGTTTTTTTCCTCATATTTTTTGGCCTTTTACCTTCCTTTTAAATTTGATCTTTGCTCACTGAGTGCAAAGGGCACTGTTTCAGACTTCTTGTGCCAGGAATTGCAGGCCCTGGCTGTTTACCTGGTGCTACCTGATGTTTCCCTGAAGCCCCCTGCAGACCCTCATGTCTGGTGCTACTCTGAAGGTGTAGGATGAGAGTTGTCTGGCACTGCTGGAGGCTGGAGGCATCTGGCAGCTAACCTTGTACTAAGCCAGGGTCCTAAGGCTGTTGTCTGGGGTATGCTAAGGCCAGTGAGGTATTTCTTTATTTCCCCAGGGCTACGCTGAAGCAAAGGCAGCCTGGCTGCTGGAGCTTGCCTGTTTGCCAGGGGCTACTCTGATGCATGTATGGGTTCTCAGAGTTGAAGTCTGGCCTGGTCATGGCTATGCTGTGGGACTTGAAGGGGGGAGTCCTGGTTTTGGCAAGTGTCTGTTCAGAATTTATTGCTGTTTTGCTTAGGTGGAGCTTGCTGCTGGCTTGCTGGGATGCTTCCTGTCCTGCACTATTCTCCCCTTTTTCACCCAAGAGAGACCTATCCTTTCCTGTCAATCTTCCAAGTTTCTTGGCCTCAAAGATTGCTTCATTCTATCTTTTTGTTGGTTCTGCTGTATCAGGATTTGTTTTGGGGTGCTATTTTATGGTTGTTTGGAGGTGAATATGGGAGAGTTACATCAATTTACTGCTTACTCTGCCATCTTAGCTACTGCAAATCTGCCTAAGAAATTTAAAAAAATATGTTTCTATATATGAGGTTGGGGCTCAGCAATATTATATATTAGCTCTCATCTTGGGTTTAGTAGGCATACATGTTTATTTCTACTCTGTGCTTCTTTGGGAAATGTATCAGTGCCCTATTACCATCACTTGACAGAGGAAGGATACTTCACAAATACCAATCACATGCTCTGTGCCACTATTAACTCACGCCCAAGATCACAGCCCTACTTTACTGAGCTCTGGTCTGTCCACTGGATATTTTTTTTAATGGAAAAACTTGCAAAAAGGCTGCTTTCTATTACTACTTTTATGTTTGGGACACAAGGGCAGCTTCTGTGACAAGAGCGCATCATTGTGAGACTCATCCAGACTTTTCTTTTGGATGCAGCCAAAATCAATGGAAACCAAGCATTACCCCTTACCAGAAACCTGTGAAGAATTATAATTTATTGTCCTAGCAAGGTATCAATATTTTTATTTGTAGTTTATAGAAGAGATGTTTTCTTTGCTCTAAATGAAGGCTCTAGCCCTGTAAATGAATGAAATTGATTAAGGACTCCTTTTAATAATTCCTCTCTTATAGGTATTATCCCTTTTTGCCAATTTGATTTTGTATTATTAAAGATCTATCAACATTTATTGAGTTTTGATTATGATTGAACACAACTTAGAAATTATGAGCATTTAATGATGCATTTGGAATCTTTATCACCAGAGTGCTAAAATGAGAGTTCAATTCTCAGTAGATATTATCTAGTTCCATCATCTGGAGTGTCCTTTATTTATGGCCCCAGAGATCAGAGTTTTGAGAAACTAACAGCTGAAGGAGTTCATGATTAAGCTCAAATAGATAAAATAGAATCCTCTTAAGCTGTTCATGCTTATACATTTTTAAAGACATGCTGACATATTTAGGTTACATATAGCAATTTCTAATTTATTGTTGTTGTTGTGTTGTTCTTGATAGTCTTTTCTATTGACTCTTTGAAAAAAATGTCCATGAAGGGGTTATATTGATTAATCTAGTGGATTAAATATTTTATATTTATATAAAAATAATTATATATTCAGTCAGTTTTAAGTAGACTATTTGAAATATTTGTTACTAAAAATCATATTTTGTCATTATTTTCCAGAACTTTAATTTGCATAGCTTTATTACTTATCTGTTTTTCTTTTCTTGTCAGTGCCTTACTGCTTTCCTAAGAGTTCAGGGATGATATTTATCTGTATTTGGGAAAACTGATACATTCTCAACTAATCATGAAAATATACCCCCAGGTAAATCGTGGTCAACTAGTATAGTTCTGGGTGTTTGCAGAGGACTGGCATTTTGAGAAGATATAAATAGAAGAAAAGAACAAAAAATTCAACTCAACTAAATCATTTAATTAAATATAAAAGTCTATAGATTTTTCATTCCAGTTGAATCTCAATCTTTGCATCTCATTTTGAGAGTCAGTTTTTAAAATACGATTCTTAGTTGTACCTCTTACACAAATAGAATAATACTGTCCAATTAAGATTAAAGCATTGATAATATTGTTTCATGCAAAACAAGTACTCCTTTATTCTCCTCTACATAAGCTCTTAAAAGGAGCTCGACAACTTAAGTAAATTCTCTCATTCACCAAAACAAATGTAGGCCTCGTATTTATTTGTTTTTATTTTAAGGAGTCCATGTTCTCAGATTTTCCAAATTACAGACTGATAAAATAAAAAAATAATATTCCCTTATTTATCCTGAGTTCTAAGCCTTGTAACTTAAAATAGGATGAGAGAGAGACGCAAAACTCTAACTTTTGTGCTATCCTTTCTGTCACCCATCCTGAAGTTAGAATAGTGCCTTCATTTTTTTTTTTGTTATAGGTATATCTTATCTTGGCACATACCATATAAGATTCTGTTTACCCAGGAGATATCCCTTACTTCTTACTAGTATTTCTTATTAAGATTTCTTTTTATCCCTCCCTTTTATCCTCTAATCTTTTCAAATGCATATTTTCAAAAAAAATGTGATCTTTTAAGCAAACAGGAAATGCTACCAATATCACTCACAATTCGTGTACTATCTCTCTTTCTTTTTAAATATAAATAGATCATTCCAGAAGAGAATTGGGAAAGAGGGGAACTTTGGGGAATTCCAAACATTAAGAAGTAAAGACATAAGATGGATTGCCAAACATTAAAGTTTTAACTGAGAAGTCAGTAAACCATACTTCTAATATGGACTTTCAAGTCCTTCCTGTCCACCTTTCACTGAATGTGGCATTGTACATGTTCAGTTTGATGAAATGAGCACTTCTTTGTGTTGGATAACCGGAGTTGCAGTTCTGGATGCATGCACCCAAATAAGTGACCCAAGTGAGTTTATTCCTCAGTAGTCTTAGTTCAGTGTTTCTTGAATACATTTGCAACCAGGACAGGGAGAATAAGGTGTTGTTTTGTTTTGTTTTGTTTTGTTTTGTTTTGTTTCCTGCACCACCCAAGATGCAACTGCTTATTTGCTTGCAAACATTTGAAAAACCTCAGAATGGTGAAGAAACTTTTTTTAAGTAATCAATACTCCTAAGATCCCTCCTCTTTCTCTTCTTTCCCTGCTTTGAATGCAATCTATTTGGTCTGTAATCAAATATGTAAAAAGACAATGCATTTTCAATCACAGTCTTAAAAAAATGTTAAGAAAATATGACTAGAAAAGAATAGCTATTAATGGCCAAGACCATTGAAACCCCCTATAAAGTAGGAGCAATTAGTAGCCTGAATCAGTTATTGTGCAGGCAAATCTTCCTTCCCTCCACCCTAAGAGTACTATACATACATACATATATGTATATATTTGTAATCTATAATTCAATACATGAAGTTTCGACGTTGCAAAGAAAATGCATCAAAAAGGAAAAAAAATAGCAGGAAACATTGTAGTACTGCAGGAAAGGAAGAAATGCATTTAAGCAAAGATGAAAATGGCGTGCAGTATAATTACCTGAAATTGCTATTCGCTTGACACCCTGACACTAATTTTATTCAAGCCATTGGGAAATAAAAATTTTAAAAGCACTCCTTTCCAAACGTCAGAGCTTGGGTGGGTGGGTGGGGAATTTAGGGGATAAGGAGGATGGAGGCAGGAAGGAAAGGGTATCCAGTATCCAAAAAAGAATTAAACAATCCATTTAGGATAAGCGTCTATATAGATCGACAGCTTTTAATGCCAACATTTTTAACGCTTGCCCTGTACGTAGATTGATTTTTTTTTTCTCTAGCATTCCCTCAGCAGATGGATTTTTGCTACTGCAGATCAGCAGAGGGTGTCAGATCTTTCAGAGTGCACCAGGCTGGAACGAGCAGAGCTTCTTAGTAACTCTCTTTTCCCCCTCCCCACTCTCGCTCTTTCTCCCTTCTTCTCTCCCCAACCTCCTCTTCTGAGTAATTCAGAAAGAGCAGAAGAAAGAGAAGGCAAAACAAGGGGGAAAGAAGCACTAGTTAGGGAGACGAGAGGGGAACCCGAGAAAAGAACAGAACACGAGAAGAGGGGGAAGGATGGACAAGCACAAAACGCAGCGATTGCGGAAATTTTGCAGCGCCATTGGCTCGGCAGCTATTCCTTAGGCTGGGGCGTGATTTCAGCACCAAGGGGAACTGGACAGCACCCAGAGGGGACTCCTAGGCAGAGAGCAACAGCAGCAGGAGCCGTTGCAGCAGCAGCTACAGCATCAGCATCAGCAGCCGGAAACCCTGCTTTGTAACAGAAAAGGCAAGGTCAGTCCCAGGCATAGCCATGCACAGGCAATTCGCCTGTACTATGTATGCTGCACTCAGCCTGCTGGTGTGTCTAACATGCACTTGCTTCTAATTCATTGTTACCCTTCAGATTAGTGAAGACTAGCTAGCAGAAATTCGACAGTTGCGGGTTTAATTTTTTTTTTAACTTCTTTTGGTGGTTTCAGAGGGGAGGGAGGGAGGATTTTTTTCCACTTTTTTTTTTATTTTTGCGTGCCTTGCACTACGTGCCTGGATAGTTTGTGGATTTAATTATTTTGACTGGCGTCTGGACCGTTGCAGTGTGGGGGGGGAGGAGGGAAGAAGGAATCCACCCCCCCCAAAAAAACGAAACCTTTTTTTTTTCTTCTTCCTTGGGTTCGGACATTGAAGTGGTAAATGAACTTGAACTGTGTCTGTGGCGAACAGGATGATTGCTGTTACTTTGTGATGAGATCGGGGATGAATTGCTCAGTTTAAAAATGCTGCTTTGGATTCTGTTGCTGGAGACGTCTCTTTGTTTTGCCGCTGGAAACATTACAGGGGACGTTTGCAAAGAGAAGATCTGTTCCTGCAACGAGATAGAAGGGGACCTGCACGTAGACTGTGAGAAAAAAGGTTTTACAAGTCTGCAGCATTTCACTGCCCCGACTTCCCAGTTTTACCATTTATTTCTGCATGGAAATTCCCTCACGCGACTTTTTCCTAATGAGTTCGCTAACTTTTATAATGCGGTTAGTTTGCACATGGAAAACAACGGCTTGCATGAAATTGTTCCCGGGGCTTTTCTGGGGTTGCAGCTGGTGAAGAGACTCCATATCAACAACAACAAGATTAAATCTTTCCGAGAACAGACTTTCCTGGGGTTGGACGATCTGGAATACCTCCAGGCCGATTTTAATCTATTACGAGATATTGACCCGGGAGCATTTCGGGACTTAAACAAGCTGGAGGTACTCATTTTAAATGACAACCTCATCAGCACCTTACCTGCCAACGTGTTCCAATATGTTCCCATCACCCACCTCGACCTTCGGGGAAACAGACTTAAAACATTGCCTTATGAGGAGGTCTTGGAGCAGATCCCAGGCATTGCTGAAATCCTGTTAGAGGATAACCCCTGGGACTGCACTTGTGATCTGTTATCTCTGAAGGAATGGCTAGAGAACATCCCCAAAAACGCACTTATTGGACGCGTGGTCTGCGAAGCCCCCACTAGACTGCAGGGAAAAGATCTTAATGAGACCACAGAACAAGATCTGTGTCCTTTGAAAAACCGAGTGGATTCTAGTCTCGCAGCACCCCCTGCCCAGGAGGAGACCTGTGCTCCTGGCCTATTCCAACTCCCTTTAAGATTAACGGCCAAGAAGATCCTGCCACTCCAGGGGCTGCTCCAAATGGAGGTACAAAGATTCCAGTCAACTGGCAAATCAAAATCAGACCTACTGCGGCGGTATCAGCGATCAATGCCAAAAACAAACCTCCGGGCAGAAGTATGCCCTGTCCGGAGATATGCAGCTGTGACCAGATCCCAGATTCGGGTCTAAAGGTCAATTGCAATGACCGAAATGTGAGCAGTTTGGCTGACTTGAAGCCCAAGCCTTCCAACGTGCAGGAGCTATTTTTGAGAGACAACAAGATCCACACTATTAGAAAATCTCACTTTCTGGATTATCGGAACCTTAATCTATTGGATCTAGGAAATAATAATATTGCAACTGTGGAGAACAACACCTTCAAGAACCTTTTGGACCTAAGATGGCTATACATGGACAGCAACTATCTGGACACCCTGTCCCGAGAGAAATTCACCGGGTTGCTGAACCTTGAGTACCTGAATGTGGAGTTTAATGAGATCCAGCTGATCCTCCCAGGTACCTTCAATGCTATGCCCAAACTGAGGATACTCATTCTCAACAACAACTTGCTGAGATCCCTACCTGTCGACGTCTTTGCTGGGGTCTCACTCTCTAAGCTAAGTCTCCACAATAACTATTTTCTGTACCTCCCAGTAGCGGGGGTATTGGATCAGTTAACCTCCATCATACAGATAGATCTGCATGGCAACCCCTGGGAGTGCTCTTGCACAATTGTGCCTTTCAAACAATGGGCAGAGCGCCTGGGTCCCGAAGTGATCATGAGTGATCTGAAGTGCGAATCCCCGGAAGACTTCTTCAAAGCAGATTTCTTGTTCCTCTCCAACGACGTGATGTGCCCCCAGCTGTATGCAAAGATCTCGCCTACATTAACTTCACACAGTAAAAACAGCACTGGGTTGGCGGAGACAGGGACTCATTCCAATTCCTACCTAGAGACCAGCAGGGTCTCCATTTCGGTGCTGGTCCCGGGACTCCTGCTGGTGTTTGTCACCTCTGCCTTCACAGTGGTTGGCATGCTAGTGTTTATCCTGAGGAACCGAAAGCGGTCAAAGAGAAGGGATGCCAACTCATCTGCATCTGAAATCAATTCCTTACAGACAGTCTGTGATTCTTCTTACTGGCACAACGGACCTTACAATGCAGATGGAGCCCATAGAGTTTATGACTGTGGCTCTCACTCCCTATCAGACTAAGAACCCGGGGCAAAGGGAGGGGGAGGGGAGGTGGGGCGCTTTTCCACAAGTTTCGCAGCTAGCAACCCAGTGGTTAAAGAAACCTCGACCCTTGTGCTTTGTCTGCTCGCCCATGCCAAAGCGTGATTGGCATAAATCAATCAATCAAACAACTGCTCTAGGAGAAGAGAGTTCTTCTGGTCCCGCCGCTCTCTTCTGGGAAAGCCAAACAGTGCGAAGACTGGAATAACTGAGGGAACCGAAGCCAGCTCGCTAGCTGTAAACCCTCTTTGAGAGGCAGCCAAGCTGGAGCAGCGCTCTTACATCTGACTATGCCCTTAGTGAGCCTTGGAGACTAAAAAGAGGGCAGAAGACACACTTGGCCAAACTCTTATAGGGCGAGCGATTGTTATTGTCCTATATATATGTATAAATATACCTACGTCTATATATATATAGATAGATATCTATTTTTTCCCCTGTGGATTAGCCCCGTGAGGAGGGGGACGTGATGGCCTCCCTGCTGATACTTCAGGGAAGGGAAGTTGCACGAAGGCATGAATGTAATGTAAATAAATGACTCGGATTCCGAACAAAAAGTGCTGCATGGCTCGCATGGATACAACGCACCCCAGGGACGCTCCCCCTCCCATTCAACCGGAGACAGCGTCTAATTCACACCATCCACCCTCTTACCTGATAAGTCCCATCGTATCAAACTTTCTATAAACAAAATACAGTATAATCTAAAAGTGCCATTTCGCCATTTTTTGTGATGATAGGCAGTACAGAGAGGTACATTTACTGTGAAAAAATGTAAAGATTTTATTTAAGACATTTGCATGGATAGTCATCAGTTCATTTTATGAGTTTAAAATTTTGCTTTCTTTGGAGAGGTTTTCCGGGGTTACTTTGGTATTTCTTTTTTTGTTATTTTTCTATAAGTATCCAATAATGCCTTCCATCTGAATGTAAAATTAGTACCCTTGATTTCTATTATGGTATCAGTGTAAACATTCAAAAAAAATAATTCCGAGGCAGTTAAGCATGACCAATTAATGTCACTCTAGTGCTTAGGCTGCGATCTTAATGGTAGCAATTCTGTGCTGGTGTAAATCTTACTATTAAGGAGAAAAAACAGAATCGAGGAAGCACGTGAAGCTTACTAATTCTATCCGAGGATTTTATAATGGCATATTTTTTCAGTATTAAAGTGAAAATGTTTTCAACTCTGGGTCCTTATATTTTTCCAGCTTCATTTTTGCAAGTGGCTGCTATGGTATGTGTTGGCAGGGATGGGGGAGGGGAGGGAAGGGGGGGGCGGATCCCTTCTCTGGCTACATTAAGGCAGGTTCTCTAATCTCCTTACTTTACCTACCCTTTGTGTCTTCTTGCTGCACTCTAAGCCCCCCAAAATGTTTAAAACATCCAGTTCCTTCTTTCACCCTACTCCCCACCCCGCACCCCCGTTTCCCCCCCTAATGCGGCAGTGAATCCCTTTATTAATGCTGGAACTCCCTCGCTGCTGCTTCTGCTGGTGCTGCACACACTGCAGATATATTAGGGATGTTAGTGGAAATTTGATTTAATTGACTCAGCCTAGATCGGTCTCATTAAACAGAGTGGAGATTTCATTGGTCAGCACTCCTTGCTGAAACGCAGCAGCCTTAATGACTGGTAGTTGAGATGCTGCTGGCGATTTGACTTTAACAGCTGCTAGAAATGGTAAAACTAATTAGTGAAGGGAATCCCTCCCCCCCTCATAACTGCATCTAGAAAATTGGTAAAGAAAACACACATCTTAACTCTGATCATCCACGTTAAAGAGGTTTTCTCTTAGATCATTTGGCTTTCTGGTAGTGACCTCTTAATTAACAGGAAAAGCATTAAAGTGTTCAAAGCAGCGTAGCTCCAATCTTCGATACTGTTCTTGGCTTTCTCTAGGTAAAGTCCATTTGTACAGCAGAAATGAACAAAACTTCAAATACAGAATGGGTCTGCATTACAGAACATGTCCACCCTTGAGAAGTGCAATAAGAAAGCACAGATCACAGATATGGAGAGAAAATAAGTGACAGAAATCTAAATCGAATAGAAAAGGTCCTCTGAAATCTTAAGGTTAGAACATTGTTCTAGAACTCATTTTCTAAGGAGTGTCATTCCCAGAACACTGATGTTCTGCAGGTTATTTAGTTTATATAGCACTTCCATAATAAAATATTTTCTATTATTACATGCAACTTTCCCAAAGCCATTTCTCATTTTCTCCTTTATTTTGGTTTTGGTTGTGAATTGTTATTTTGGTAGAACATTCAATGTAAGTGGAATTATCATCTACTAGCAACAAAAGTCATGGAATTTTTTTTCTTTTGGGGGTCATTAGGTCTTTTAAGTGAATATACAACAGGCTTCCTTCCCTGGATGTAAAGTATGGATTTTTTTTTTGCAATATTTTAAGAACCAGTTAAAATGAAAACAAAATAAGAAACAAGGACACTAGCAGAAGGTAACACTATCTCAAGGATAGTATTAGGTGAGAAATATTTGTTCCTAAAGAAACACATTGGTCTAGATTGATACTTAAGTTTTTATTCATAAAGTGTTTATAAAAGGCTATGAATTTCCCTCTACTTCATTCATGGTATGGTATTAATTTTATTCTAGTCTATGTGTGGTACAATACAGTTTAAGGGATCAAGTGAGGAAATATTAGGTTATTAATTTGTTTTATTAATTTCTGCATTTGAATTTGTTAAATCTCTAAAGATACCTATTGTTTTAACTATAGACAGAGGGTAACTACGCCATTCTAATGATATAAAAGGGTCTGTGAAGGCTTTATTCAGTTTATAAATAAGACATATGTTGGTCATCATATAGACATAGTATGTTTTAAAAGATAAGTTACTCTTTATATTTATTCATTCAGAAAATAAATATAATGGTCATCTAAAACTTGGATTGTCTTTGCCAGGGGTTGTGTCTAAGAAGGATAGTGCACTTAATTTAGAGCAAAAAAGATTTATGGATTGCAGCAATTTATGAATTATAGACATGCAAAGATATTGAAACCAAATTAACTAGATATTGATTCTGATAAAATTAGCACAGCCAGAGTGTTTTACTAAATAAGAAAACATGAAAAACACATGCAGAGAAGCAGAATGACTAATGCTTAAATATATCCAATGACTGACTATATAGAACATTTATTATTTAGACAGTCAATGTTTTATTCATTTTGATAAAGTATCTCTGTCATGATAATATATATTTTATTTGCAAGATACGTAACAATGCAGTCCCTCTACATCACTTGTGTTTAGATTTGCTTAGTTTCTTGGTTTTGGAGAGGTTTTTTTGGTTTTGTTTTTCAGTCTTTTTTTTTTAATTTTAAAGGGCCTGTATAACTGTAGTTGTCACATGCAGTGTGTGAAGTATGTTGCTTCCAGTTGAATCACTCTTCAATTCATCAAAGCAAAAGAGATTTTAGTTGTGTAGAATGGAAAAAGGGAAGAAGAGGGAGATATCTTGTTTAGTTCAGTTGCTTAAAGGAAGTAGCTATACTGCTTTTGTAGCTAAGAATATCTTAGGATTTAAGTAGTTGCCACAGAAATTTATTGTTTAACCATTTCACATGTTTATGAAGCAGGTAGCTAGAAAAAGTTAATTTAACAGTAATATATATATATATATATACACATATATGAATGTATGTGTGTACATATACACATATATATGTATATGTATATATGCGTATATATTCCCCCCTTAAAAGAAAAGACAGCAAGCTGTGTATCAGATATGTGTCTAGATAGAACTGCTCTAGTTTTAAATATTCATATAAAATCACATTGATGATTCTAAGGACAGTGTGTTTGGTTTTGGGTTATGCCACCTTGTTAATAAGGGTTTTCTTATTTGGGTAGATCTCAGTGAATTTCTTGGGAATGGGTGAAGGTCCAAGGGGGACAAAGGAAGTATCTATAAGGTATTTGATGGTTTCCAAGTCAGGTTCCCTGCTAGCTCTTTCAGAAATAGCCATCCTTTTTGTGTGAATGCTTATGTAATGACAATATGATATGAATGTTTCAATGTGCTAATGGTTTAATTATAGTATTAATTTGAATTTTTGTCTATTTTTCATTCAAAGGTGAATGTGATTCAAATCATCATAAATTATTATTTTAAAAATTATTGACTGATGCCAACAAATATTCCAAATCATATGCATGCTCATGGTTAAACTGTGAGCTGCTTTAGTGTAGTGTGTAAGCAATATGAAAGTAGATAAGCATTGACAAATTTGGGATAATTACCTGAGATTATACTGTATCTATAGAAATGGTACAGATATATATTATTTATGCAACTAACACAGCACAGGCTGGTATTTATCCTTAGTGTTCAACAGCTTGAGGAAATGCCATCATATTGTTCCATGTTTACAATGTTTATAAAGAGAATAACCTTAAAGGCTGATTCCCTGTTGAGGCTTCATGTTACTTAGGCTTGAGTGCAGTGCTAGCCCTTCATAGTGACCTATCAATGATATTTTCATTAAATTTCAAATATCTTCAATATTTTAGACAATAAAAAATATGAGCACAAGTGTTTTAGGTTTCAAACTGAAATGGACATGGAAGTAACTATAGAGATAAAGCTAAAATTAAGCCCTTTGGCCTCAATTAACTATTATACTTTTAAAATTGTGTTTTGAATTTAATCATCTAGATAATAATTGAAATTATTTCTTCATTTCATTTTGCTGGGGCATAGCAAGTCTTAGTACAATTAGAAAATAACAACACATTTTATTTAAAAAAATTTCCCCAAATGGAAACAATTTATATCTGTATCTGACAAAATAAAATAAAATCTAGAGTCTATGAATATATAGGTTATAATTTATTTATTCATTCATCAAATATTTTTGAGTGCCTACTATGTGGCAAGTGTTGTGCTTGTGGGAAATGAAGATGACTAAGACTTTGTCCCTGTATTTAAGAAGTTGACATTATGGTAGATAAGATATTGTATAAATGCAGATAACTATAATTCAAGCTGGAATAAGATATGTCACATAGGCTATGTTTAAAAGCACCCTTTAAAGATCTTTAGTATAATTGATTTCTGCAACCTCCTCTACAATTTAAAAAGTACAGCAAATTAGAGCCACATTCATGGGCCAAATAAATTGAAACTTTTAGGATAGTTCAAAATAACAGTCCATTTTTACATGTTTTATTCTACTCTCAACATATTAACTGACTTCATTTTGATCTAAAAAGCTCTGCTTCCATTGATGCTGAACAAAATGGATATAAAGCCCATAACTTTCTTACCTCATTATGAGGTATAAATTCAAGGATAGTTGATTGGTTGTGTTTAAACACTCCTTCAAACAGACAACTAACTCAATGGCAAAATCAACTAAACCAGTTGTTTGGCCTTGGGTCCATATACCAATGGGTAGTTGAAAGAATTTTTCAAATTTTTCACTTTCAACCAGCTATGATACAATGTGGACATATTCAGTACTAGCTTTGAATATGAGCAATTTTATGCATGTGATAATTGTTTCTTGCATAAATAGAAACTTGCATTTATGTTGAGTTTAACAAAATGTCCAAGCTATCTGAAAAGAAAGGTAGAATGATAGTAAAACATGGTTTCATGCCTATGATTCATATCTAAAAGAAGTAACAGTAGGTTCAAACATTTGATTTTTTTTTTTGCTATTTCTTTATAGAATGTATAGGGATATTTTTGTTTACATTTATGCTAGCAAATATTCTGTAATGTTACATCTTTTGTTTAAATTTCTTCCTTTAAAAATTTCATTATTAATATTTTGTTTACTTGATACTTTATTATTTATAAATTGGATGCTTTCTGAATAATACAGAAATATTCAGCCATGAAACAGCTACTTCTAAACATCTGGAACCCAGGAATCTGGAGTGAATGGAGATGCAATTTCTGTTTCTCTTAGTTATACTCTCTTCCTTCTTTCCATTTTTTCTTGGTAGAAAGGATCATATTGCATCATATTGATAGGAGAAAAAATATATAGTGATAACTATAGATATAAATGATAAAACTGAATTCTTAATAGCATCAAAGATGAGAAGGTTTTGCTTTTGAGTAGTATGGGAAAGAAATGGGAAAGCTGTGCTGTAATTAATCATTGCATCTAGCATTTCTTATTATACAGTTTGGCATATGAAGATTT